ATCTCATGGTCCTGGGATTGAGCCCCACATTGGGCTCTCTGCTCAGCGGGGAGCCTGCTTCCCTCTCTCTCTCTGCCTGCCTCTCTGCTTACTTGTGATCTCTCTCTCTCTCTCTCTGTCAAATAAGTAAATAAAATCTTCAAAAAAAGGGACGCCTGGGTGGCTCAGTTGGTTGGACAACTGCTTTCGGCTCAGGTCATGATCCCGGAGTCCTGGGATCGAGTCCCGCATGGGGCTCCCAGCTCCATGGGGAGTCTGCTTCTCCCTCTGACCTTCTCCTTGCTCATGCTCTCTCTCACTGCCTCTCTTTCAAATAAATAAATAAATAAATCTTTAAAAAAAAAATCTTCAAAAAAAAAAAAAGGGTCTATGACCCAAAGCCCTACGCCTGTTTTGTACCCCTGCTCCCTTTGTCTGGACGAGCCCACTAAGCAGCATTTATTTCTTGCTGTGCACAGCTCTTATTTGCAAAAGGCACCTGTCCTAGAAGTAGGGGACTGGTACACAACACCCAGCTGTCCCGCCCTCTGGTTTGTCTGTCCACCTGCCCATCCATCCATCCATCCATCCACCCACCTATGCATCCGTCCATCTGGGCATCCATCTCTGTACCCATCCATATGATCAGCAGGTTAGCTGTAACTCCACTACATTCTGTGCAGTGCTAGACCCACGAGGAGGCATTTAGAGATGTGATCTCTTTCCCATTCTTTGAGAGCTTGCCACCTGATGGGTCCACTAATAACTAAAGAAAAGGCAGAATGTAGTCAGTACCCCAGAGAGGTGTGTTCACAGATTAGATGCAAGCCAGCCTCTGGCAGGACCAGAATACAGAGGTATGGGATTATCTAAAACCCTAGACAAAATTGTTTCCAACATTTTCCCCAAAGACACATACATGATAAGCACCGCTATCCAGACACTCTGGTCCTGAGCCAGGACTGTTGTCCATCAGAGGGGAGTCCCTCTCCCCCTGATGTCTTATGCCCAGATGGTAAGCCAGGTCCCCAGGCTGGGAAGTAAAAGCCCGAGCAGGAGGAGAGAGATAGCCAGAGCAGGGAGGCCTCTCTTACCACAGGAAGCACTGGCGGTGCGGGGGCCTCAGCATTCAGTCCAGGATGGCGCAGGGCCTGCAGGGGACCCTGGCATGCTGGGTGGCAAAACGGAGGGTGAGCACTGCAGTGTATGTGGGGGTAGCCGAGCATTTCCGGGAGCACTGTTAGATGGGCGTCCAGTGCAGGGGCCGTGAAATGGGTTTCCTAGGGAGAGTGGGAAGGCCCCTGAGCAAGGCACTGAGCCACGAGGGTACCAGACATGCTGAGATGACTTCTCTGGCTCAGGCTGCAGGAGAAGCTTTCAGAAGGATTGGGAAGGAGACCTCTGCTTCGATCAGCAGTCAGATGGGGAGCCCATCCTTTAATTGGGGTCTTCTACATCCTTTGCTGCCTCCCCAGCCTATCAGTGGGCCCCCAAGGGGCAAACTCACCATGGTGTCTCGCCCTGGGGAGCTGGAGCGGCTGGACCCAGGGGCTTGGCCCTTGCTCTTCTCCCACAGACTGTAGCGGCCACTGGGTCGGTAGGTGGGGCTGAGGACTTCAGGGACTCGAGAGGTTGGGGCCTGGGCGGGCACCTGAGGTGCACTGCCCTTCCGGCCATAGTTCTCCAGGTAGTCGGCCAGGTACTCCGAGCGGCTAGCTGCCTGGTAGAGCCCCTGCAGGGTGCATAGCTCCTTGCGCGTGCGGGCCAGCATGGGGCTGCGACCCAGGTTCCCAGGGTCTATCCGGTAGCTCTCTGAGGTCCGGAGGCTGGAGAAATCCCGGGCCAGGTCTGATTGACTGTTTGACTTCTTTTGGGTCAGGGTTCCACCCTGGTCACGGGCAGTCACAGGCAGGTAGCTGAGGGAGTTGTTGGTCACTCCGTAAGGGAATCCGCTGCCCCCGCTGAGTCCGCTCCCTGAAGGCCGCTCAGTGCCCCGAGTCTGGCTCTCGGCCCGCTTACCTCCCCCGACGATGTCAGGTCTCAACAGGGGGCGGCCCCTGTCATAGTCCAGGATGGAGGAGGGACCATAGGTTCGGGGACGGGTGAGGAAGCTGGTCGGGGGGCCTGGCTTAAAACCAAGCTTCTCCTTCTCCAGGAAGGAGGCAGCCAGGTTGGCCCCATAGGAAGAGGGAGTGTAGGTGCCATAGCCCGATTTGGCATAAGGGGCATCTGTGTAGCGGGCCGATTCTGTATAGCGCTTCAGGGTGGAGGAGAGCTGGGACATCCTTCAGGGCGGCACTCAGTGGGTACTGGGAGCCTCATGGGCTGGAAGACAAGGAAAGTGGCTGTCAGAGAGCCCTGCCAGGTGTCCGGCAGGGTACCCGCATCCCTCCTCTTCATCCCCACCTGGCTGGAACCGCAGATCTCAATGAGAGACCACACGGTCCATTTCCACAAGAGGCTGGCCCATCGCTAAGAAACGCACCTATGCTTGTGTATTCACACCTGAGAGCACAAAATGTGAGCCAGCTTCTACAAACCACAGAGGGCCACCAGTCAGCACATCCTAGCTGCTCCGAGTGCTCCCTTGCAAAGCCCTAGATGTGAGGGTGGGGACCGCCCTCCCTCAGCAGCCCTCCAGGTGACCCGCAGTATGCCAGCCCAGATCTCAGCTGCTCCCTCTCTTCTGGCCCTCAACCCCTGGATTGAAAATGCCGGCCATTTTAAGAATTAAGTCTTAATTCTTTCTGCTGAAAGGAGGAGCAGGAATCTTTTTGGAATCCTACATTGTCTGAGCTTGGAAAGGCCCCGGACCATTTGGTCAGATCCCTGGTGAGGAAAAGGAGGCTCATGAGAGGAAGCAGGGGGCCTAGGGGAAGTGGTGGTGAGTGAGCATGTGGCAGGAAGTGGACTTGACCTTAGTCTCCAGATACAATCCCACAGTTTTCCCCTGGACATGGTCACCTGCTCTGGTGGGGAATCCTCATGTGGCAGAAACTTCTTTCTTCACGGATCTAACTCAGGTGGCTCTAAGCAGAGTTGGGGTTCTGTGGCCTCTCAGGGGTTCCTCTACCAACCTCCAAGCCAACAAGCTCACGGTGATGACTTGTGCAAACGGGGCCCCCTAGAGGCTAAAATCCTTCACTACAGCCGGTATTCCTTGTCCCCACACCCCACGCAGCTGGGGTGGGTCTGGTGAAGGCACACAGGAATCTCTAAACTGGGGGGTTGTAAGGATCCTAAAGAGTCACCCCCCTTTTAAAAAAAGACTATTTATTTATTTGAGACAGAGAAAGCGAGAGACGGAGTATGAGTGGAGGGGGAGGAATGGAGGGAAAGGGAAAAGCAGACTCCCTGCTGAGGATCATGACCTGAGCCCAAGGCAGACACTTAATGGACTGAGGCCCCCAGGCACCCAAGACTCATCTGTTTTAACCATTCTGTTGTACAGATGGGAACAACGACACTGATGTGCCCAAGGTCACAACCAGCAGAGCCAAGATTGGAATTCAGGTCTTTCAGGTTTCTAGTCCAGTGCTTTTCCTATTGGACCTTGATTCATCCCTCCCCATCAAGTTTAAGCTCACTTGGGCACCACCAGAGTCCTTCTGTCACCCTAGGTGTGCAGGCTGCATCTAAAATGGAGCTCGGGGGGTGGGCAAAGGTGCTTCGGAGAGAGGAACAAGTAGGATCAGGCCTCTTTCCTAGAGGCTATCAGGGCTTCTTGGGGGGCTCCTGCAAGGGGGGGGGACAGAGCCCTCCAGGAACCTCAGAGTAGTGGTACAGGGCTGGTTGTGGCTTGCCCTGTGACTGACTAGCTGGGTGATTTTACACTAGTCATTCAGCCGATCCGAGCCCCAATCTCCTCACCTGTACAATGAGTATAATCACCGTCATTATGGTTCCTACCTCACAGGGTTGTTGCGAGGAATAAATGAGATAATAACATGTGGAGGCCCTGAGCTCTGAGAGTGGTTATTATCTGTTCCCCCAACCCTTGCCAGGCTCTGGGCCCCTCCTTTGTAGGCCTGTAATAATGTGAGGGCTGCCTGTCTCCCGGCCTGGCCGGCTTCCGACCTCAGCCCGGGGCACCAGACTTCCCCTGCATCCCTCAGCGAGGCATGCGGGTGAGCGGGCAGTGGGCAGAATCTCGCTGTGCTGCAGACACTGGCTCGGGCAGCCCACGGCCTGCCCTAGTCTGGCAGCCCGGCCCATTTGGGCAGAGAGGAGTTGGTGCCAAGCCCCAAATGCTGATGGCTTGGCAGAGGGCCCTAGCAACTCAGTCCATGCAGGGCGTGGGATAGGTGCAGGGGTGGGAGATCAGCGGGTGGGAACCTCCATATGGATCCCAGAACAGAACTTCTAGACCCTGCCAGAGACCAGCATCAGTTTTCAGTCTGGGCTGGCTCAGAAATGCCTGGTCTACATTTACTATGTATGCTTTTCCCACCTGGCCTGGGGACCCCCATCTTCATACACACACCCTTGCCCACTGTGTTCCCACCGCCAGCACAGCTCCCACTCATTTCTAGGAAAAAGTAACTGGAAGGTGACCTTGTGCAGGGTTAGAGGGGAACCACAGCTCTCCTTCCATCTGCTTGGCTTCCTGGGGTACAGAGAAGGAACAGTGTGAACCCTGAGGGAGGCCGAGAGAGACACAGACAGAGGCACCAGGGCGGGGGCGGTGGACGAGTCCTGCTCTATTTCACTTTGGAGAAACTCCATCAATAATTCAAAGTCAAAGAGACTCCAGGTCTCAGGACCTGGGCTCTGGGACACCAGGCAGCCAATCAGATATGCCTCCCCCCCCCACCCCCGGCCCAGGGCATGAGCTCATGCCTCCTCCCCATGGCTTTCACTTCCTCCTCCACACCAAGGCTCCCAGGGAGTTGGTATTCTGCAGGCAGTGCCCCAGACTCGTGACCTCTCCTGGCCCTGCCTATGACGCAGAAGTGCTGCGGCCAAACAAGGTACAAGGGACAGGGACAGACAGCCCTGGGAAGGCTGGCAAGGATTCCTTGGGAAGGGTTGGGGCTAGAGGTGGAGTCACACCCTGAATCCCAGGAGGCCTCCTAAATCCCCATTCTCCTGTCTGCTCCAATCTGGCAGGTGAGTGACAGACCACCGCCCCCCTTGCCATAGCAGCCTTGGCTGGGGGGGGTGCTGGTGTCATGCCATCACAAACAGCTCCCATCCCTAGCAGTTTGGCTTAGAGTTCCCGTGTCTGGGGAGGGTCCCTACTGCGGCTGAGACCTTGAGCAGGCGTATCCCCTCCCCTAACTTCAAGTTTCCCTCTTGAGAAAAGTGTCAACACCTTCCAGGTGAGCTGACAGCTTGGGTTGGTGCCCCTTGGTGTTACCTGACACGGCTGTCCCTGGAGGCCGCAGAAAACACCACGGGTGGGAGAGCAGGCTGGGCCCTGGCTGTAGGCTTGCTGCGCAAGACAGGGACAGGACGGGCACTCACATGGCTTGGAGTCCCCTCGTTGCCACAGGAACGGCCTGGACTGAATGGCCCTTTCATGGGGCAGTGGGAGGCGAGCCGATTGGCTGGGATCCCCTGTCTCCCTCCCGGCCAGGCGTGGGGCCCCTGCTGCCCTGCTCCTTTTGCTGTTTACCGAGAGCTGGCAAGTATAGGCATGTGGCTCTAGGCAACTCCTCCCCAGGTGCCCGCCACCTCGGACAGCAGGGGCACACCACCTGCCAAGCTCCTCCTCCGTGTCATCTTTGCCCGGGCACCTCCACTCTTCCCTGCTCTGCCAGAACTCCCCTGTCACTTGGCTCAGTTTCCCCCTCTTGGGAAGTACAGCTGCCTTTCCTCCACAGAGCCCTCTGCTTCCTGAAAGGACACATGAGCCCAGCAACCGTGACCTGCCAGCAGGCCGCAAACACCTCTGGACCAGGCACTGTGCTGAGCGCTTCCGTCGCAGCTTCCATGGGGGTCACGGCAGCCTTCCCTGGAGCGCTGCCTGCCCCGTGTCCCCAGAGCCTCAGCGCAGCTTTAGGTTTTAATTCTTTCGGAGAAAGAATTTAAACTTAGAAGCATCATGTGAAGGTTTAATGATTTACATTAAATCGAAGTTGGTATTTTTATTCAAGATTCAATAGACAAGGAATGAAATAATGAAACTTTGAAGTGTTTATCAGTCCTATTTCTGAAGTTCCTGAAGTTTGAAACTCTATGAAGAGTTTTGGGACACCACGTGCCAATCCTCACAATCGGCCCCAGCAGTGGGTGCCATCCTTAATGTCCACTTGCTCATGAGGAAACCCGTGTTGGCGGAAGTGACGCGAGTTTCCCAAGGTCACACTGCACGAGCAGTGGCCACGTAGGACTGGCACCTGTTCTCGGCCCCCGAACAGCCACCCTGAGGCCAGCACCTCCACTTCGCACTTCCCTGGCCTCTCCCTGAGCTGGAATGGGGCAGGACCTGTGGCCTGGGGCTCCGGGGGACACAGGCATCCCCGTCTATGCCACGGTGTGGCAGGTACAGATTCCCGCAGGAGGCGGCCCTTCGAGTTTCCACTGCGGCAAACAAAAGCAAAGCCAAGTGCAACCTGAGCACCAGTACAATTCTGATCCACCAAGAGATGGTCCAGGAGGCCTCCATTTCACCCGCAGTGCCAAGCTCCCGAGTGTCCTGGGGCCCTGGCATTTAGCGCCAGCCAGGGCCCTTGGCCCCAGGCCTGGTTATGGACATGCCCCCCAGCCTCCTACCCTTGCTGCATCTTGGTCCACCCCCCCAAGGTACCTGGGCTAGATGAGTCAGGGGTTAAAATGAGCCCTGTCTCCCTGGGCAGCCAGCCCCTGTGCGTCAGCCACTGTCATTTCCTGTTGCTCACGTGAAGGGCTCCCTAACCTGCCCAGCCAGGGGAGGGACTTGCTCCCCAGGAATCTCAGACACTCCTGGCCCCCAGGGTAGGGGGTGGGTAATGTCCCACATCCCAGGAGCCTTCGTGGCCCCTCTCTGCTCAGATCCACTGTGCTTTCTGGGGGGAAGGCATGCCAGCTTCTGTGGCCTTGCCACTGCCTGGATAGAAAGCCCCTAGCTGGGTTTCAGAGGTGTGCCTCAACAGAATTCAGTCCTCCTCTCCTCTCCAGGTGTCCGGGACAGGTGAGTGGGGAGTCCCAGCCAGTCCTGCCAGGTGCTTGGGAACCTCCACAGGAGTGACCTCAGAGCTTCCCAAAGCCACTTGCTAACACCATTGGAATGAGGCACAACTGATGTGCTGACCTTGAAAGGTAAAGCGGGCTGAGAGAGGGGTCCTGTCTCCCTTCGTGTACACGCTCTGACCCGCACTCCTGTCTGCTTGGGCACTGTCTAGGCACAAGCATCAGTTCCTAGGTTGAGGGATGTCCTGGCAGGTGTGCTGGCTGCGGGTAGGGTGGAGGGCCTCCGTGGGGGCTGTTTGTGCTTGCCTTCTCAGTCCCCAGCCGCCTGTGTGCCTCCCCTCCACTGTCACCAGTAGCTCTGTCTCTCAGGGGCTTGCATCCATCGGCCCACCAGTTTAGTGCCTAATCCTCTTGCAAGCCTTGGCAGGGGGCCATTCAAGAGAATTTAGGTCCATTTCTGTTTCTCTTGCTACCTCCAGTAGTTGCCCCAGGGCTGGGAGGGGGTGATGGGATGAGAGAGACTGGAGATGACGGTGAGAATCCTGACTGGTGAAGTAGGGGGTTAGGCCCAGGGTAGTGTCTCTACAACAGGCTTCTGGATTTAGGGTTTGGAGAGGGTAGCCATCTCAACACTTCCAAGAAAATGCAAAGGAATGGGCCTACAGGCAGTACTGGTATCCTTCAATTCTCTTCCCTAATCCCATCTGTCGGGAGCTCTCCTGGTGCCCCCACCCCAGGGGAGAGTCCCAGTCTCCCTCCCTTTCCTCCAGGGCTTATCTTCCCTCTGTCCTTGTCGCCCCTGCCTGCCTCCTCCAAGCCTTCACCGTCCATCTTGCCCCAAGCACTCCTCCAGGCCCAGCTGGGCAGCCTATCACATGCTCCCCCAAATACACAGGGTCCTCGGGACAGCGGGCCCCATATAGTTCACATACTACAGGGGCAGCTACTGACCTGTGTCCGGGGGCCTGGATAGGATCTGGGGGCTTCTCCTTCCCCAATGAGGCAAGGGACCGTGGTGGAGAGCCCCGAGGCTAGAGTCCGACTGGGGCTGGGTAATCTGGAGCTCAGGTTACCGACTCCGATATATATAGTATCTTATCTGACCTCACAGAGATGGCTAGCTCAACTCACTTGCATTCCAAGCTCAGGGAGAATTAAAGGGGCAGTGGCAGGCCCTCCCTTGAGGTGCTGCCCTGATGGGCCAGTGCCAGGCTAGGAGATGGTGCGAGGGCTCTCTGAAGGGGGACATTTTCAAGTGGAACACAAGGGGGATCCAAGGGGAAACAAGTGGAAAGAGGATAGAGAATGGAGAGAAGAGGGGGAACCCTTGGTGCTAGTCCAAATCCTCCCTTGGAGGCGGAGTACACCTAGAGATCCAGGCACACACGTAGTGAGAGGCAGGTGGGACCTGGCCTCAGGGGTTCGGTCCAAACTCTTTTCTAATGGACTTCTAGGCCTGGGCATATTTTCCCATTCTTTCCCTTTCATTGGCTCTCATTACAGTGGGAAAGTCATGTAAGCCATCTGAACCTTAGTGATTTAATCTGTAAAACAGGAGTAAAAAGTGTAATAATGCTAAACCTTACAGTTGTGAGGATTAAATAAAATAATATTTATAAATTTCCTGGCACATGGTAAAAGTTCAATAAATGCTAATAATGACTATACTGAATACTTCCACTAATTATGATAATTAGTGGCAGTATTTGTAGTAACACCTACCACAGAAACCTTCCTAGGGAGAACAGGGCCTCTGGGCCACCCCTTGGGAGTGCTGTGTTCTTCTTTTTTTTTTTTTTTTTTAAAGATTTTATTTATTTATTTGTCAGAGAGAGAGAGGGAGAGAGAGCAAGCACAGGCAGACAGAATGGCAGGCAGAGGGAGAAGCAGGCTCCCTGATGAGCAAGGAGCCCGATGTGGGACTCTATCCCAGGATGCTGGGATCATGACCTGAGCCGAAGGCAGCTGCTTAACCAACTGAGCCACCCAGGCGTCCCAAGGGAGTGCTGTGTTCTAAAGGCAGAAAAGAGCCCCATGGTTTTCTGTCCTACAACTGGCAAGGACAAATGACTCTTGCTATAATCCCAGATGTCCAGCCCATATAGTGGAGAAGAGCCAGGCGTATTTCGGCTCCTTCCCCCTTTGCCTAGAAAAATATAGCAAGGGCAGCTGCCTGGAGGCTAGCAGGAGAGAGCTGCTCGGGGGGTGGTTCCACTCTACCTGTCGGAGTGCTCAGGATTCCAAGGCCACAGAGCTGGGCTGGGCAGGCTCACAGGAGGATGGAGCAGGATTCTTAACCTCTTGGGCCTTGGTGCTCTTGTCTGCTCCCAGTCTGTGTCTCCTGTTTCTCGATGGTTCTCCCTGAGGACTGGGAGTACCCAGGATGGTGCCTCCACCCTGTCTCAGCAAAGGCTACTGACTCAGCTTGGGTCCCGGTGATGCACTTCAGAGGACGCCCTCGTCCCTGGCCCTCATTCCAGTCCTCATTCCGATTCCAGCTTGGCATGCATCTACAGTACCAAAGGAGTGCGGGATGCCCCAACCCCAGCCCATCCAGCTCTCCTTTCCTCTACTTTCCAGGGTTGGACTTGGGGGAACCTTCTCGTGCCCATGCCTGGGGAGGTGAATGTCACCACGATCTCCAGCTCAGCCCCATTCTAAAAGCAGCCAGCTAGGGAAGCAGACGTACACTCCTCAGAGGACAGCTAGAATGGGTTGGCCAGAGCTTGCCGTGGCTGTTAAAGTGTAAGTTACTCGCCTTGGAGCACCGCGTGCCTGCTTCTGGTTTGGGATTGGTGAGAATTTCAAAGATGCCTCTTTCTGGTTTGGGATTGGTGGAAAATCTCCCCTTGCACTTCACTGCTGCCCTACCCCCACCTCCACCCCTTCGGCAAACTGACCGGAGATAGCCCCCAGGAGCTTCAACAGGGCGGGGGAAGTGAACTGGACGCACACGTGGGGAAGGGGTTGTCAGTGTCCAGACGTCACTCTTAGGCCATATACCGCACAGGGCGCAGAGACGCGGACCTGCCCAAGCAGCATTTCCTTAGAACACACTGATCAGCACACAGATGGCTCTTCCTGGCACCCTGGGCTGTTAGCTGGCAGCCCCCCCCCCCCAACTGGCAGCCACAGCTGGGGCTCCTCCGCACAGCTGGCGCTCGCCCTACATTTCTGGTGCCCATTCTACCCAGGCTGTTGTTGATACCTCACTTTCTGAGCCAACAACGGGGCTGACCTCCGCATCCCTCCTCCCTAGTCTCCGACAGGTGGCACGTACCTGCCTCTTCTCCGAGGATGGACGAGCGGAGCCGGGCACAAGCATGGAGCTGCGGGTGAGTCCCGGCTGGTACTGGCGCGGCGCAGTGAGCAGCAGCTGACGCAGAGGGCTC